AGCAGAGCTACACAAGGGCTGTCTCCTCTAGCCGTCTATACTTTTTTAACTGATAGACTAGATGAAAGGCAGGTAGTCAACAGCACCCATCGCCAATTCTTGGGCAACTCTAATCTAATAGTGAGATTGAGTTGTCGCTCATATAATGCACTCATGGCCACAAAGTGTAAAACACATATTTAGCAATTTGACGCAAACCAAGAATCCCTGAATTTATAAACCGACACGCTTAACACTAGTTCACAAGATTAAAATGTCCCAAAAGCGTTATAATAAGTTTCAAAATGTAAGCTAGAATAATTTAGAATGTTTTATTCGCTGCAAATGATGACTAGAATACCACTATATTATTATTACTATTACACTTAAATGACTCTCTTAGATCGTCATAGATTCAAGAAGTGACTTGAACGACAAAATAATATTTTCTTGACTTCCGTAATATTATTAGTCATTATTAAAAAGGTCTGACATGGCCAGGTGGTTAGGGCGCTCGACTAGCAATCTGAGGGTCGCGGGTTCGAATCCCCTTACCAACAAACATGCTTACCCTTTCAGCCGTGGGGGCGTTATAATGTGACGGTCAATCCCACTATTCGTTGGTAAAAGAGTAGCCCAAGAGTTGGCGGTGGGTGATGATGACTAACTGCTTTCCCTGTAGTCTTACACTGCTAAATTAGGGACGGCTAGCGCAGATAGCCCTCGTATAGCTTTGCGCGAAATGCAAAACAAACAAACATTATTAAATATTTTGTTTTTTTCTCATCGATGACTATAATTATTTAAAAAACTAAGTTTATCTATATCACCAAAGTAACTGAAAAATATGAATTTGACTTATTTCATTGAAATGACTCCTCTGATAATCAAAATTAGTTTTGATGTAAAAACGATACAGAATTAGCACAGTATTATTTTATCTTATAAATGAATATAGTAACTAAGCAATATTTTATTAGATTTAAAACATATGCTGTTTTGATGTGTAGTGGCTCAATATTGTTGCTTTGAATTAATGAAATTATTAAAGCTATTTAGAAATATTACGTACCTGCCGTGCATTCGTGAATATATTATAGCGACTGAGGAATATTGTCGTGAATTCATGTATATATTGTAACGATTAAGGATTATTGCTTTGAACTAACGAAGTGTTATAGCGACAAAGAAATATTGTCGTGATTTCGTCAGTACATTATAACAAACGAAGAATCTGTTCTTACATTAATTAATATAATATAGTAACAAAGGAATATTGTCTAGAGCTAATGATGATAATTTAGCCACAATAACTTCGGCTTGGACTGATGAAAATTTTACAGTGCCAATAAATGTTGCATTGAACTGTTGGAGATAGTAGAGCGAATAAGGAATACTGTCGCGAATTCATGAATATACTATAACAAAAAAGGAATATTTCATTCATTTCATAAATATATGCGAGTGTCTAAGGAATATTACGTTGAATTGAAGAAGTTATTTTAGCAACAAAAGTTTTCGATAAAAATACTTTAACATGAAGAATTATGTTTTGAATTGATGAGGATGTTATAGCAATTAATATTTTATAATATATAGTGCTTTGTTTCAGATACCTCGAAAACATTCATTTCATAAAACATATTTTAATTTTCTTTTGGCTAGATCCCCCCCCCCCCAAAAAAAAAAGTCGTTTGTCAGAACTACGAAAAGGCAGCTGGTTTTCACAAACCCGTAGCAGTTTCAATCTCGTTAACGACAAGAATTCATCCGTTTAAGCACGATTTACTAAATATTTAAACATTAAGTGAGCTTCTGAATAAGATATTTCGTAAAGAAATATGGCTCAGATAAAAAAAAAACTTGAATTTTGCGGGTGTTTTAATATTAAAACATCCTTTTCGTTGAGGTGTATATTTATTTTACTCCTTCACGTTTTTGTATTATTCAAAACACGCACGAGTTAATACAAAATTCTTATTGGGGGATTTTTCGCAAATATAACAAGTTAATCTTTTATTAGTGTTTGTATAATTAGACCTATATATAAAATAATGTTTTTTTTTTTGTATTCGTGATTTCATACTTTAAGTTGCTTTAAAGTAAAGAAATGTTTCCGTGAAAAAAACTTTATGCGCGTGAAAGGTAAGTAATATTGTTGTATATTAGAAGTTAGGAAATATAAGTGACCTTCTAATTAATAGATTGAGCTTAATAACGTACCCCCCCCCCCCCCAGTGGTACAGCGGCATGTCTGCGGACTTACAACGTTAGAAACCGGGTTTCGATACCCGTGGTGGGCAGAGCACGGATAGCCTGTTGTGTAGCTTTGTGCTTGATTAAAACAAACAAACAGTTTCTTTGAAAGAAAAGAATAACTAATTTTGAAAAGGCACGTGTTTCACATTTTTAACGCATTACGGAACAACATTTATTATCTTTTGTTTTATACATATGATGGTCTATGTTTCATTGTTGTTGGTCAACATTTTAATTACATGGTTCTTTTGTTTGCAGTTGTTCTTATTGTGAAGAATACAACACCGGATATATAACTAAAGGAAGAGGGTTGGTCCTAGATTTCGAAGCTGGCGAACAAATATTCATCCCCCCCCCACCACACACACATACACTTTAACATTTTATGCTGTGGGGTGTATTATAAAAGTGAGAGTCAATCTCCTAGTGTGGTGGTCAGTAGCTCAATAGCCTTGAAAGCTTTGCCATAAACATACAAAATATAACTTAAAAAAGCATTTAATTTAGCAAATGAACAAATGGGGTAAGACTTACACGGAAATCCATAAAAATAGTGTTATGTAACCTAACATCAAGCGGAAAAATAAAGAAAACTATACAGATAAAATATTCACAAAATTGACATCATCTACTGATGATAGAAACCCGATGTAATACAGATAAACTTTAATAATTGAACAAACCTCCAATTTAGCTGCTACTTTAAGAATTAGTGGTATTATAAAACATTTAACTATTTAAATATAGTGTTTAGGAAGGTTGGTTCACTACCACATGATTTTTGAGCTAATTTAACTTCAAATTATTTTTATATTAACTTTTGTAGTTCATTAGTTTCAATCAGTATTAAACATTCCGTGTAAACTTTCTTAATTTCATCATAATTATTTTAACATTTGTCTCACTTGTACATTATTTATCATTGATAATAAAAGCTTCTTACGAGAACGTAGTCCAAGTGATGTTTTATAGATATGTGTATTTGTTTTAAGGCATACTTTATTTTTCTCTCATGCTCAGTGTCATTTCTTGTTGGCGTAAAGACAAGGAAGGTGGGTCCATTAAATTCACTGACATGTAACGTTAAAATCCGGGACAGGGCATAGATAGCCCATTGTGTAGCTTTGCACTAAAAACAAGCAAAAAACCGTACAAAGTTAAAACTAAAGGCTTTTATAATGGATGTCTTTTTTCTTGTTGGTGTAAAAGTAACAAAATACAAGACTATATGACGTTAAGACTAAGGCATTTAGGACGAACTCGGAAAGTTTTTGAAAGTAAATAAATTATTTTTATCAGTAGAGTTTCACAACAACGAATTAATTGATTAAAATTTCAATTTTGTGTCTGCTTCATTAAATTGCAAGACATGTATATTATCTTTGAAAAACACGTTATTTAGCCAGACGTACTGAGTTAGCAAACAAATCGAATCCATATCGTGTTTCCGTTCATCTTCTTAATATTAACCTGCTTTATTTACTGCAATGTCGTTCTATCCAGGAAGCGGGAGTTTAAGAAAACTCACTTAACCTCAGATTACCAACTTGTTTCATATAACATTCACTATCGGTAAGGTTCAATATATATATTGCATCGTATTGGGTAATTTTGTTGGTGGGATTAATTGCAATAGTGTTGATTTTTTATGTATATTGTCTTTGTGTGTGACTTGTATGTTATTAGAGACTATTTAATCTTAATATTAATTTTTTATTCATATTACTGTTCGGCCGTCGGAGCTTTATGATGTTATGTTTAATCCTACTATTCATTGGTAAAGAGTAGCCCAAGAGTTGACGGTTGGTGCTGTGGCTGGTTGCCTTTTTTTTTTTCGTCGGCAGTTCAAAATTAGGGGCGATAGCAGATAGCTTTAGTACCCTCGTTATAAACAAACATATTTCTTGATTATAATTAGCATTTATCTTTATTTGTTCCTCTGTCTTACAAAGAATAATAGTCTGGTGGTTGGGGCGATCGACTAGCAATCTGCAGATCAGGGATTCAAATCCCATCACCGAACATGTTCGCCCTGTCAACCGTGGGTTAATTATGATGGTCAATCTGATTATTCGTTTATAGTAGCCCAAGAGTTATCGGTGGTTGATGTTGACTAGCCGCCTCCTTTCTAGTCTATTATTTCTCAAATAGGGACGGCTAGCGCAAATAGCCCAAGAGTTAGCGGTGGTTAATGTTAACTAGCCGCCTCCTTTCTAGTCTATTATTTCTCAAATAGGGACGGCTAGCGCAAATAGCCCTCGAGTAGTTTTGTGCGAAATTCAAGAAACAAACAATCTATGGTTATCGCCAGGCTTTGATATCTGAATGAACTGGAAAAGCGTTAATACGACTGAATGTTTTTAGTTGACTCACGTATGTTTTTTTTTGCTCCATAGCTATTCTTCTAAAAATCATGTTTGTATTTCTAACAAAGTAACCTTATAGCTCAGTTAAATAAATTATAAAAATATGGTATTTTCAAAAGCGTGTCCTAAGAGTTTAAACCATTTGTAAACTTAATATTCTGTGAATGTATACATGTATATCTTTTAGTATGTTTATTTTTATTAGATTAAGCCGTGATTGCACTGCTTTCAAGTTCTGGTAGAAATGTCCTTAAATTTTACGATGTTTTGGCGTACAGAAGCTGTCCTACGGTACTTGTAAAACAATGTTTTATCCCATGACATCATTTATGTATATGTGCGACAACAGTGTGTTTTCGTTGTTTGACAAATAATCTCTTCAATTTCTTTTCATAGACCATCTTTGGAAGAAATTCGTTCTTGGGGAGAGTCATTTGATAAACTTATGAAATGTCCAGGTAAGAAAACATGTTACCAGCATTAACCCTCTGTTGCACGTATTATGCAAATACGATGGAAAAATTGTGTCTTTGAATTTCCTACTTAAAAAGGTATATATAGTGCAAAAAAGATAGTTTTAGTGAAATATATATATATTGGTAAATTATAAATGGGCATCTTACGTAGGAGTAAAATGTTTCAATTGAGAAACGAACAAAAATAATTCCATAGTATATTTAGACTGTTAACTGAAAGAAAGGCGATTCAACTACAGAACTGAAGCATTTATATGTGTATTAAGCAATAAATACAGATTTGTTACCTGTACGTTACAGTGTGTAATATGGGGTTTATACTATAAACCTATGTTTGATATGCAATACAATAGTGTAGTGTGTACATACTCTTCGTCTATTTTAGCGCAAGGCACATTATGTATATATATATAATATAAATGCTGGTAATTGTTGCAGTTATATTTAGTTGAAAATGATTTGTGTTTATTTTAGTTTAAGAAAATTATATGTTTGAAACATAATTAAAAACTTATAACAAACAATAGAAAGTTATTCATCAATTGAAACAAATTATCATGTAATTTCTGTAGAACGAGACGTTTCTAAACATGGCTTCAGTTGTTTTAGATCGCACAAATGATTTGCTTCGTCTTTTGATAAAGAACTGTATATTAAAAAATAACATACTATATACAAAGTGTTACCTTTATTGGTTAGCGGTAAGTTTACAGACTTACAACGCTAAAATCCGAGGCGCGATTCCCCGCAGTGGATACAGCAGATAGCCTTTTGTGGGCTTTCAAATAAACACACACTCTTTATTGGCAGTTCATTAGTTTTTTGTTGTTGCATGTAAAGGGTGGTTTTCATAACCAAACGTTTTCAATGAGAAAAAGAAAATAAGAAGGTGATATGTAATTATATAAAGATGGCGAGCTATTCGGAGAAAAAATCTGTCATCTACTCATTTGTGCTAATGGGAACTGATATCAATCGGAAATACAGTCCCCAGCTGGTGATGCCAAGTAGAGGTTTGTTAATATAATATGAACTAACTTGCCGTTATATGAAAATTTACATAACAGCAAAGGCAACGATACCTGTGTGCTAGATCCAGGTGAAAAACCTAACAGTTTCAAACTATTTTGGTAACTATTTGTGTGGCTACAACAGCAAAACGAATCTGGCTGTTAGCCAAAATCCCGTTTCTCGGATAATTCGGATGATTCATTCGTCTTTAGGTAGGGCACTCAGCAGCTGCCTAAAGAAATCGCATGAATGACGAAATCAAAATCACTTTGAAATCAAACATTACAAGAGGGTGATAAGAAATGATGAACCGTAAAAGTAGAAATTAAACAAATTAGTTAATCGTAGCGATGTACTTATGGACTGAATGTCATTTGACGATTTGTATTTGAGCAATATATGATACTATGTTTTAGCTGTCAAGGATCTACATAGAAATATCAAACTTTCCTGATAGTGTCCCACCATCAATGTTTATCAGTTTTTGACTTGGGCCAGAATAAGTTTCAGAAATGATATTTTCAAAATTGTATTTATAACAGACTTGTTTCTGTTTTTGCTAAGATTGGAAACGGAAAACAAAAAGTTTTTTTTTCCATATAGCAATTCTCACTTGATTCAGGGGTAAGCTTGATTGCTTATAATACTGAAATTCAGGGTTTGACCCACGAGACGAACACTAGAACCGACATGTTTCATAATACTAGTTTTCATTAGTAATATCGATAATAAACACGTGCTTTTTTATGCTTTATGCGATAACTAACATTACTCATAATAAAAGGCTTCACTCTATACTTTAGAAGAGAAAAATTAATCTTGTAGTATATATTTCTACGTTTTCTACAAAAATGCGATCCAATAGATTTGTTAGGCTTGACTGTAATCCATTATTATTCCCTGTATTGAGTTGTAAGTCTTCTTGATCAATAACAGAAGGGAAGATTTTCAGAGCGAAAGAAGTAAAGGCTTCATTTGTTCAGATTATCGATTGAGTATAACAGAATGTTAACAATAAATTTAAAAACCTTTAGACCAGATATGCGTGCGTGAAATCGGTGCATGACAGATTGATGTTGCACGTTTGTTAGAAACTGTGCTTAAGAAAACTCCCCCCCCCCCTTATAAGTAGCTTTTTCATGTTCAACGAAGACCGTTTTGGTGGAATTTAAATTTACATGCAAAACTTCTACTTCAAAACTGAATTAATCAAATCCTTGATATATATATATAACATATATAATAGTGAATTATTAAATCTTATGTTCAAAAATGTATTACCTATATTGGATTATTTGGATTGATAAAAAACTTATGTATGATTTTTATAAAGGGCATAATTACAGAGAAAAGGTGTCATTCTTATAATACATGTTTCTGTCGTTGCGTTTTGCTTACTTTCGTAACACTGACCTTAACAGAAGTTCCGTAGACATACTGCAAAGGCGTAAGCAAAACTAAAACCGATCTTCACTGATATTTCTCTTAGTTTATAGAGATTCGGATAAGGTGTTACAAATAAACAAATGAAATTTGATTTATTGTTTCTGAAACTATAAAGAAAATATATTTAAACTATAAAGTAAATTATACAAATAAGAAAACAGGTATTTAAAGATTTATTGTCTCAAATCTTTTTTTTTTTTGTACACATGTTATCAAGATCCTGCATGTGCTAAAAGAAAAACAAGATTAGGTACTCTGTTGAATTTCTATAACTCAACTCTTTGAAAATACATATTATGGGTTCTCTTCGTTTCAGCGGGTCGAAAGGTGTTTAGAGATTTTTTAAAATGTGAATACAGTGAAGAGAATATTTTGTTTTGGCTCGCTTGCGAAGACTTGAAGACAGAGACCAACCCTGAAGTGATAGAAGAGAAAGCGAGACTGATATACGAAGACTACATATCTATCCTTTCACCAAAGGAGGTGAGTGAGCGAGTTCCTAATAGACCGATATTAAGACGTGTTAAGCTCAACATGAGCGACCTCTATCAAACGAGAAGTGTTCTACAAAAATAGTAATAAGATACGACTTTGAAGCTTTTTTTATTGAAACTTAACGATTTCGATTAACGACTCGTTGATCGTGTGAATCGATCGTTAGACATAGATTACCATATACGTGAAAAAAATGTTTAGATTTAATAAATTTCTTCATGATATATCGAATGTACGATAACCTACAATTTCTTACACTTCAGATATTAAGTTATTTTGCATAGGTGTTTCTGTTTACTTTTATTTACGTGCAGCATAATTGATTCATTGATAGATGGGGACTCCTTTGGGTCACTGGGGATTATATTGGGATAAGTAATTATTTGTATTTACAGAGAGGAGTTTCTGCAGGTTTCGCCTATGACCAACTTTTTTTGAAAAGTAAATACCAAGACCAAGCGAGTATCGGAACTGTGACTCTGCTTCAGTGACTGTACCTTGTCTCGAATGTTTCAAATCTCATTTCTTACTTCATTGGTTTGTGAAGACGGAATTTGACAGAACTCTTGAAGCACAACGCTCGCCTTGTAAATCCTCAAATCCTTTTAGTATATTTCTTAGGTGAAAGAGCTTAATTAAGTTCTCAAGGGTAAAAACTTTTAAGGGTTTTAAGAGTCGCGAATTTTAATGCTGCTGGATCTCAGTCTCTATGTGATCATGAAGTTTCTAACGTAACACGGGATTCATTTGGTCCTCGAAAAAAAAAAGAGCTTTAGAGTATCTATTACTTAGAACATAAAAAAATCCAAACTCCATTTATCGAATTACACCACAACACACTGACTTTTTGAAGATCTTAAATTCATGCCCCTTCCTGCGGGCGCCAATGGAAGCAGCGTATCTATGTAATGCAATGTCGTTCATGAGCTAAGTCTGTCAATGCAGAATCTCGATTAACTTAGGTAAATTATCAAATAATACCTATTAATATGTGCAATTCAATAGTTGACGTCCTGTACATGTTAGAATTATCATCATATTTAATATAAGAATAGTTTTAAATAGGATTTTAAAGAAACTCTTAATTTCTGTTTTGGAAAATACACACTACTGTGCTAAAAGTCTATCGTTTAAACTTAGCGTATGAGGTAAAGTATACTATAGGTGGTGAATAAAATGTATTAAAAATGGTCGATTTTATGTAAAAACATTTTGGAAATACTGTCTACTTTTCAGGATATTTAGCCATTAAAAATAACACGTTTACAAGTTATCTTATCTATAATTTGTCACAGTAATTCTACCAGTACATTAAGTCAAGGAAATGATGTATTTAGCTGAAAAAGAGGCACACTACCATTTTGATATTTAATTTCCTTCATTCGAGAAGTTTCTGTAAAAAACCACAAGGCTCCTTTTACTAGCTTTCCTGGTATGAAACAAGTGCTTTTAAATAACCTTTTCCATTTAAAAAAAATGACTATAAAATTTAAGCTGTGGGCATCAAAATAAAAAAAAATATTGAACTAAAGTGCTAGTAGGAAAATTCGGTAATTTGATTTTTCTACACCAGTTCTTATAACATTAACTGTAAAAAATAGAAAAAAAAATACAGCAAAACTTAACGATAAGTGTAGTCGTAAGACTTCGGAACAGTCAGATGGCAAGGTATGTTCTATGTATTATCTAGTCGCCATGACAACGACCTTCAGAAAAGGGTATCTTTCTGGCAGGTGTGAAAGGCTATGATAACAAAGCTATTGTCTCACTGCAACCAACACCAGAAAAAGTGAAATTTCTGTTTTCTCCTTTAACCACGAGAGGGCAGCATCAGCTGGGGTGTATTAATAATTGGATCAGACGTGCATAACTAGATTAACAAATCGCAACTATCAAAATCACCGCCAAATTATACGTGATCACTTTTTTTTGCATTGTACGTCTGTATTAGCTTTGAATAATTATTTCATTTGAAATGAATAATTCCCCATTAAAAATATACATTATGTAATAAACTTATTTAGGTTTTGATATGACGCTTTTCTAACTTTTCCAAATTCCTTAACAGTTAAACTGAAAGATCTTGCATTGAAAGTAACTTATGACGCAACATGCAACCGATATTAGCTATCTGTATATCAGGTACTTATTGGATGAGACGAAACCCTGATACTGTTCTTAATCTATTATATAATAACAATACTGCCTGTAGATGTCGCCGGCGTACCAGTAGGTACAAACAGGTGCACTCCATTAACTACCTACTACACTTTGAAGGTATATTTTATAGCAAACTCTAGAAAAAGAAGCACAAAACGTTATGGAGATGAGTGGGTATAACCAGATAGCACTCCATTAACGATCTGCTATATTGTGAATGTATATTTCACAGGAAACTCTAGAAGAGCACAAAACGTTATGGATATGAGTTATCATACAGTATGCTTGATATGTTTAGACTTAGAATTCGGATTATGACGAGAGTCTTCTATGAATGAACTGACTAAATGACTTTAGTTAATCTTTATATGTATCTAACTTTTCCATATTCAGGGGCAAAAAAAAGGATCAAACTTGAAACTTCCTTCAAGTATTTATTAATATGAAAAGTTTTGTATTATTTCTTTCTCAGATAGATATTCTCTCTATATATTTGTTTATTGTGGTCTCTTCTGTTATTTGAGGGTTCAGATATTACCTGTTGTGTGTTAAAGAACTTAACTATAACATACATTTACTTATAACTACATAATCGGTAGTGGGTTAAAGAACTTAACTATAACATACATTTACTTATAAGTATATAACGTTTTAAGACTCCGAGTTGGAAATTTCGACTTCACTAACATGACTGATTAAAGTAATTTCTAAAATAAAATTACTCTGTAGTAGCTATTTTTACTAAAATATTGTATCAAGACAAGAAATTCTTAGGCCTAATGTGTATTTGCGTGGGTGGTGTTCAGAAAGAAGTGGAGATTACATATTTGCAAATGACTAGGCGTCTTGCCTTTTTTTGTTGTTGTTGTTAAGCACAAGGTTACACAATGGGCTATCTGTGTTCTGCCCACCACGGGTATCAAAACCCGAGTTTTAACTTTTTAAGTCCTAAGACTTATCGCTGAACTGGGGTGGGGGGTGGTGGCAAAAACTAGACGTCACTTTTTAATATTGCCATCTTTTGTTGAATGCATCTTTCTAGTGTTTTGTGAGATTCGTGATACTGAATCGGTAAAATTTAGGCGTAGTGTTATGAATCTTATGTGATACAGCAGCTTTAAGAACATAATTTGTCTGTAAGTTTTGTCTACGCGTACCTTCATTGAGGGAACCAAAACGATGGAATTTTGCAGGTGCTAATTCATGACTATATTTTGTATGAGAAAAAGACTGGCCGGTGAAATAGGGTAAAAGACGACGGGGCAAACTTCCAAAGGACTGAAAGAACATTGGAGAAGGAGCGAAGAATGAGAAGTGTTTGTTATTTCAATAAAATGATTGGGGACGAATTGACGAATTTCTCACCCTTCTCCTTCCACCCGTTATTTTATTTTTTCTAATCGTTTTTGTACAAATATCAGACTCTCATTTACTTCTCACGTCGTTGTTACTCCAGCGATTACAGTTAGCGTTTTCGGAATTATAATAAGAAATAGATGAACACAAACAATGTGGAACAGAAAGAAAGTGTTGAAATTTGGTGCTCCTGTGTTCACTAGACAGGTCAGACTATAGCAAATTGTTTAATTTAAACTATTAGATGCTATTTTCGCCAATTCTGAATTAAAGGCTTTTACTTATACTTCTTAATAGTATTAATATATACTATGCTGTTGTTGGGCTTATGATTATTCTACAGTAGGTATCTGTGGCTTGTTGGCGATAAATTCAATGATAAATGAACAGTATGCATTCCACTTGTTTTCAAAGTAATATATATATATTCGAACTGGTTAAACGTATGTACAACAAATTCTTTACACTATAGAGATTATAGATATATAATAAACACTATATATATATAGTTTTCTTCTTGTTGTCAAATTTCCACTTAGTCTTATTCAATTACTTTAGAATTTTAGTTGATAAGCCGAACTACCTTTCCCTATTTCCATCGCACTAGTATTCTGTGTATAATTCACTTACAATTGTGGCACAAGTTACCGAAATCATGTACTGCTCTTCCAGTATTCGTTTGGCCTTCTTTCCTCTAAATATCCTCTGTTTCTTTTGTCAAAGTGCACTTATGCTGATTCAATTACTTTAGAACCAAGCTTTGACGGAATAAATCATTCTTCTTATCTCTTTTTCTAATATTAGTATTACTCTAACATATTAAACGTTAGGCCTATGTTAATCGTTAGGCCTGTTACTTCTACGGTAGTTAACTTCCCGCCGAACATTTACTTGGCCGTGTCTTTACTCTCTCCTGCTATTGTCTGTTTACTGTTTCTTTCACTCTATTTATACGTTTATCACTTAATCGTCTGCCAGCCTTCTAGAAACCTCTATATTCTCGACGTCAATATATTGCATGCGACATTCGATAGTCTTAACGTCAATGAATTATAAACACAACTTACAACAATCGTCTGCTTTTAACTCTCTTATTATAAACAAAACTAAACAGTTATAAAATATTCACTCACAAAATAAATTAATCAGTAATATCTGTACTAAACAGTCTTTTATATCATGACAGAAACCTTTAATCAGTATTCACAACATTTAGAATGTACCTAAAGGTAAGACATTCATATCGAACTTAATGTTGTTTGATTCATTTAATTTTTTAAGCTCTGTTATATTTCTAGAGACTAAACCGCTTTTAATAATAATTTGAAGTGCTTTTGAAGAAAGTCTTTCCCTGTTTGAAAAAAAACAACAACAAGAAAAACGTTTTAAATTAAATAAGAGATTAAAGATTCCATAATAGATATAAGCATTTTGCGAATAATAAATGGGTGTATAATGAACTTAACTACATGTTCTTTTTATCAACTTGTGTTCGTTCATGAACAGGTGAGCCTGGATTCAAGAGTTCGAGAAATCATCAATAGAAACATGGTAGAACCCACGCCTCACACCTTTGACGAAGCTCAACTCCAGATCTACACCCTCATGCACAGAGATTCTTACCCTCGTTTTGTGAATTCTCTAATGTACAGAAAACTCGCACATCTACCTGTACCTAGTCGAAAAGGAAGTGTTGCTTAGAAGGCTCTATTATGTCAGAATACTTGCTTATGTTCTCTAGTATTCTTTTTACGAAAGCAGTTAATAAGATAAAGAAATACTTAATTTTTGTTCTTTGCCTCGCATGTAGTTAAGCACATCTGTGATTCGTCGTGAACGTTCTTGTTTTCTTCAGTAGTTTAAAATATAAACATTCAGCTCAATTGTCTCCACATCAAGTAATATAAGACTGGTGACATATAGGAGGCTTAGTGAAACCATACCTCTTTGTTTATTATTGGTAACGATGGACCAATGTGATGCTGTATTAGTACCTGAAGACATATTCCTGCAAACGTTTACTATATATATATATATCTGTGTGTGTGTGTATGTGTGTGTTTGTTTACCGGGACGACTACAATCCAACTTAAAAACTTGTACGTTCGATGTCCTGGATTTGGAATTAAACTTCTGCTGCAATCTTTGTTTTCAGTGCTTGTCCCTGAGCAAAACTTTTCTGGAGATATTCCGCTTGTTTTGTCTAAAGGTATCTTTCTTCTATAAAGAATAAGATGACTTGTTTTTCATTCCCAATTTTCAGATGGTAACCAGTTTTCGTTTTTCATGTGTTACCAAGAATATTTGAAAAATGACCATGTTTATCTTGTTGTAGAATAGTTTGTAAAGTGTCATTTCTACCGATTATTGTTCCAATGTTAATCAATGTATTTATGGAATATTCTGCTTGTATATTGCAGCAGTAATTTTCATTACAAGTTCATTCGCGCGTTAAAAGAAGTACCCTTTAAGCTTAATATCATAAGTTCAATTCAGTCCATTACGTGCATGCAAAGTACGTTGAGGCAAAGTGTCTAATGAGAAATCATGATGTAAAATATATATAATTTGTTAGTTACAGATTTATATGCACAAGTCTAATCTGTTTTGTTTTTAATGTTGTTGTTTGTTTTTTCATCTTTAGTTGTTGGAGTTGCGGTACATAAACTGTTAAAATAATAATATTGCTTTATGAAATCTAGTAGCGCTATAGTTTATATTCTTACACACGAGTGCAATTTGTTTTTGTTATTACAAACAAGAAAAAGAAACGTCGTAAAAAAAAAACATCAATTTAGATTTATTGCTCTATTTATAAAGGGTAATGAGACGTTACAACAAGATAGCTAGCTTATTCTTTCAGTATCTTAGTGACTAGTTTCATACACTGCAAGTTTCTGAGTTAATTATCAATAGATAATTTTAAAAAAAGGATATCGTTTAAAGAATATCCGAAAAAAAAATCAATGTCCAGTCAACATACAGTTAATCATCTGTACTTTAAGTTTCGAACTTTTCACTTTTTAATACGTAATGTTTTGGCATTAGTCTGAAATAAAATTTTTATTAGGTGGTATTACCTCACTGACTGAAAACTGCAAAAATTAAACTACACCAGGAATCCTTTTGAATTGGCAAACGGTTCAGCTGAAGGTGATATCAGAAAATAAATAAATCGCACTTCTTACAAATGTTTTACCTTATAAATACCACAACAAGCATCGATAATTTACGTCAGATATCACAGATTTTGTATATTTGATTTTACAGTTTTTAAAGGTTTACTTTATGACATTTCACGATGTTTGTTCCAACTTCACTTGAAATCCCTCTACTGCGAAGTTATCATCAGATTGTCACTGCTTACCGTTTTTTGGAGAAGATAAGGCATCTCATGCTGTTTGAAGGCGTTTCGCTAATAATAAATTACTTGAAACCTGAATGGTACTTTTTACAAAACCAAAAAAAAAAAAACGTTTTTGCATTACTCACATAAAGTGTTTTTTTATTACTCTATTTCACAGTATGCAAAATATAGATAGTAATGCTGATTAGAGACTTTGTGAGGATTTAGATGAATGAAAACACGCCCATAAATATATTTAGGAAATACATGCAAATCATTGTTCATTAACAATCATTCCTATTGGAGAGTGAAAAGTGGACCAACCCAAATATATTGTCGTAATGTGTATGAAAACATTAGAAAGTCATACTTCCTTGGCTTATATAATGAAATATTTTTAATGTAGTTTGGAGTAATCAACCACAGTCAGAAGATGAAAAAAAAAATTAAGCGACTACAACTGGTCTTAGATAAATAAAAATTGCTTCATTGTTAAGTAATTTTAGTTTCTTTGTTTTCCAAGGATGCAAATGAGTTTGGAATCAAAAACCGTTTCGGTCTTTAACGTTTCGCACAAATAAGCAATTACATCTGGAAATTTGTTTTCTAGACTTTAATATTGTTGCCAAATATCCATATATTTAATATCATGTTTTTTTATGTTTCTTATATTTCAAGATATCTGTATATGGCTGCAGAATACAATGAGTTTGTAGTAGACATACAATTCAACGTATCGTTTTGTTAGTTTACGCTCATTTTAGTTTTACTCGGATCACAAAATAAAATCAAAATCTTCACTAGTGTAGTTGCGGCGCGGATGTCAAAGTTATACCACTTAATATTTATTATAATTATTATCTATCAAGCTTATTATTAGAATGCTGCGTTTACCAGACCCTAAACGCATTCTAAAACATCTAAAATTTATGCAGTGTCTGTGTTATAAAATTGATGATATCCGGGGCTTGGTGTGTATTTATTATTAAAGTTTATCACCTACATAATGTCATTTGTATTCATGAGTCAGCTCTCGACTTGCATGAATTATTTTTTTGATCTAGAGGTTAGAATGAAATTGTTCTTCGTAGTTCGTACAGAATATACTACAGAATATATAATGTAGCTTAGGTATTTAAAAAAAAAAACGGCCTCTAGCATGAAACTTTATTTCATATTTTGTAATGTGTTTATGAACTTCATAAAATAGTTTAACATTAGCCGAAACATCAATTAACATTTTAAACTTAGTCTTTTTCCTATATTGAAAGTATTACTGCTGTTAACCTGATGTCTATATCTATACCTTGTTTGTATATAAAATATGCATTATTTCTAAGCTTGCAGATCTCCCGAATTAACCAATTATGAACGAACACTTTTTGCCATATGTAAAAGGAATCGTATGAAAACACTTACATGGATATATAACTAGACACTTATTTCTAGCTGTAAAAATTTTTTCTTCACGGTTTCATAACTCGGTACTTCTTTCTGTCATTAAAAGGCTTTGTGTGTTCGTTAACTCATTTATATCTGTCGTTATACATGATGACGATAAACAGAATAATTAGACAATTTTTGTCATCATCAGACGATGTGACAATGTTATATCAAACTGCATAATTTTTATGTTTTCTTTCCATCATCAGACAATTTGACACTGTTATATCAAAACACAAATTTTTCTTACCATCATCAGGTGATTTGATCTTGCCATACCAAATCACACAAGTTTTGTTTTCTTCCCATCATTAGACGATTAACGTTGCTATAAATAGACATTATCATTTCTGTCTTCTGCCACTAGCTCTAACCTTGTGATTTCATCTGTTTATGCCCCCTGGTGGCTCAACTTATTATAACGCTAAAATTCGGGTTTCGATAACCGCGATGAGCACAGCACAGATAGCCCATTGTGTAGCTTTGTGCTTAATAACAAATAAATCACCTGTTTATAACATTTTGATTTTAATTATGCAAAAAAAAAAAACTGATTTTCTTACCGTTTCCTCTATCATTGGTTGATCACATTTTGCTGTCACAAAAGAAATGCATTTCCGTGACCAAAAAAGTTCTATTTGATTATAACCAGAGGAATCGTGTATGTATTTGGTAAAATAAACTACTACCAGTTGCTAGCATGCTTTTTCATATATTTACAAAACAATTTTCGTATCCCCCTAATGATTTTATTTTCATCTTAACCATTAAATTTATCCTTATTAATAACGATTTTTTTTTGTTAGTGTCACATTGGAGTGAGTAACTTGGAATTTTTCAACAAATGTTCCGAAAATATATTAATATATATTAAATTTATCCGTGAAAATCTTGTTTCTTAATTCTAATAAGACATTAGAACAATTAAATATCCTGTTTTTCCGTTTAATATTTGGTTTCAACTATTTTATTTTGTGTATTAGAATCAACTCATTACAGTGACTCGCACGTTTTCGGGGGGAAGAGAAAAATAATACATTTGTGAACTCACATTTTTGTGAGTGGTAAAATTATTTAGATGTTTCAAATGTTTATTTTTAAATTGCTTATTCTGCTCTTCAATGGTATTTTCGCCGGTTGTGTTATTTCAAATGAAACGATTGAAAATAGCTTGAGGTGTGACCCAAATCAATTCAAAGGACAAGACGGATCAAACACTGTAATCCAGACCTTCGGTTAAATGAAATTTCGTGGTATTTAGAACTCTAACAGATCTCTAACAATATGGGATTAAATAGTATTTTTTTTGTGTTATAATTTGTTATCGCAGTTAAATCATTTTTGATTAATGAGAATCTCTTATTGTATGAAAAATTAAATTAGGTGTTTTCTAATAAAAAAAAAGTGAAATTCTAAAATAAGGTACTTTCAAGCAATAATACTAAAAAAGTGTTCGAACACTAGCTGCACACCTTGGCCAAATGTTTATTTAATTTTTAACTGAGTGTTATCAACGTTGATAAGTGAACTCTATGTACGGTTATATGCCTACCATAAAATGAAGCCTTCAAATTCGTATGAAAAACGTAAACATATTGCTTTTATAATAGAGATGTAACAGTTTCTTTTTGTTGTTGTTGTTGTTATTTAAGAAAGTGATGCATCTATTGTGTTTAATGTTTGAAAACAAAACTGTATTATACTAACAAGGGGGGGGAGTTTCAGGGGTGTGAATTTTAACAACATAAGCGAAACGGGAAAGCAAAATCGTTTTGACATATTTGTTTTCTGGTTGTTCCGTATTCCTTAATTGGTTTCGCTTTATCCTTTGACCTGTAAATCAATGGGTGAAATGTGTTATAATTTAAGACTGATTTCTTGATATGATCTATTTTTTTTGTTTCTCATAACTTTGGTGAATAACTACAACAATCAACAATTTATACTAGACTGTCTATCGACAATTTTACTTGGACATATTTTGTATACTTTTAAAACGCTAAATGTACATTATCCCATTTAACGCAAGTTAATTATTCAAAGTTGAGGATAGATGGCGATACAAGCCACGGGTCCAAGTCTTCTAGACTACTGCGTTTTTATATGGGTGATTATATTTTATTTGTATTTGCAATTGTTAGAATAATTTAGTCTTCTTCTTCACTATGTAATATTATATCTTATGTTTAGCGCAAAAATTGTATTCGTTTTTACTTTCCTTGAGAAAAAGTTAAACAAAAACCTCAATAGATTTTATGAAGAACGGTTTCTCTTACGTACTCACTTTCACTTGGCTAGTATCATATACCAGTTTATTCTCTTGTAACTGTTTATATTCTAGGTAATTAGTGGTTCTTCGTGTTATTCTTTGTTTAATTAAAACATTTTGAAAGAACAATGTTGAAACGTACTTTTTCAGTCAATGCTAAACTTCCACGTATGCTTAAACGATTGGTGTATGTAGGGTCTGTAATCAATGTCTTTACTCAAATTCACCGACAAATCTATTTGCTCTAAAAATTCAATGTTTCACGTGCATGCAGTGCAAATGCTTATAACTTGTAATGTTCAATTTCCATTCTACTTAGGCCAGAAGAATGTGTGCACACTTGCATAACTTTATGAGGACTAGAAAAGTCGCAAAGTTGAATACACTTTAAAGCGAAGACAGTGTTTTCCATTAGTATAAACATGCTTATTATGGATGTATGAGTCAGAATGAAACTTATTATAAGTTGAAAAGAGAAAGTCTGAAAACGAAGATCAAAACTGGTAAGCCATGAATAAATGTAAGATAAAAAACATATAAGAAAAAATATTCAGGTTATGATGAACAAAAATAGCTTAGAACATTAAAATAAGGCAGACAAGCTTTGAACAATAGAAATAAATTCTAAAAAGGTAAAAATAGGCTCCAATTCACAAGACAAAAAGATAAAAGAGCAAAAGGGGTAAAGAGAAGAGAAAATCAAGACATGAAAAAAAGATCAGCTCAAAATACAGAAAATTGAAAAATCTGAGAACAAGTTGTATAGTCACAGAAAAAAAATTGAGAGGAAAAAAGATGACTTAAAATAGCTTACAAAAAAGTGGACAAGATCAGCTCAAAATACAGAAAATTGAAAAATCTGAGAACAAGTTATATAGTCACAGAAAAAATTGAGAGGGAAAAAATGACTTAAAATAGCTTACAAAAAAGTGGACAAGATAAAAATTGATAGGAAAACAAAATGGTAAGAAGCTCGGAACAGGAGAGAAAAAACAGTATCGCAATAAAAAGTCAAATGCAAACTAAAAATAGGAAAAAAACAACAACAAAAATTTGAAGGGATCATGGAAGAGGCAAATTCAATACAATACGAATAATAAAATATTCATATTTTTTTAGCTTTCCAGCTTCCTTGAAAAGTAAAAGTATTCTTGATCTTTCCATGGTTTTAGCGTTAGATAAAATCTACCAAAGCTTTAGAGTATATAATAATAAATAATACAGGGCATGGTAGCAATAAGCTCCCACCCTAAGTAACTTTAGGGAAAAGTAGGCGTCTAAACGAATGAGTGTGGACTATTACTGTATTTTCAGTTGTTATGATAATTTAGCTATATTCACTTGACTACAGCAATCGGTTGGGATGGAAAACAACAGATGGCGCTACATCACTCAAAACTTTATTTATATATTACAATCTAGCAAGGGGCAGTGTAGCTTACTGACCATTAAAAACAGTAGCTGAAAACTAACACAATTTAATAGTGATTTCTTAATTTTATTTGAAATTATTCTGTTAATTCTGGAATAATACTTTATATAATAACTCATCAGAAAATCATTCGGAAGAAGCTTTAAAAAAACAAACACCCTTATGGAAGCTTGTCTTAATGCAAAAAGAAACGTTTTTTATTTTCTTTTAGCAGACATGCAGGAAAGAAAAACTTATTTTATTTAACAACGATGTTTCGAGCAACTGTTCTTCGTAAGGTTTGATATGAAATGATTAGTGATAAACAATGTGTATTTAACACTAGAGGGGACTAATATTAAACTTAATCCATGTAATACAATATAAACATTATAATACAGTTAATCAATATAATTGCGACAAAGTGTTACGTTCTGGTTAAAAGAGGAGGTTTTTATGGCAGAAATACTGCCAAAGCTATCCATTGGAACAAGTATCCTTGTTCGAAGAGGGGAGGTTGTAAACACTGTACGCTAAGTAGTCTGAACAAAATCGCATAATGATCGTTATCTAAACTATATTACTCTTGGGAATGGCCAGTTCACTTGCCTGGTGGATTCAGTAAGGACTTCAAGCCAGCCACTAAAATGATATTACAAACCAAACAATGAGGAAAGATTTCTTAAGCCCCGCTTAAAACTATCTAATAACTGCTTCAGTCTTGGAGCTGAGACCTTTGTTGAACTTTGGACGAGAGCACTAATAGTGGTTGTATGGCATTGTAAGATTTACAAATGATGTGATGGTTTTGTGTCTGAATAGTTAGTTAGAAGAGAGTGATCCTTTCAGTGTAACAACGTTGAATATAACCGTTTCGGTGGCGGTTCAGTTATGATGTAAATGGACGTTCTGATATTTGTGTGTGTGTGTGTCTTATTGAAGCGGATTTACTTCTCGACTGGCGTGGTGTTTGACCCAGTTGTATGTTCTTTCGTGGGCGCAATCGCACTAAATTTTACCCTGATGTAGGATAATAGTGTCACACTGCTAGGATTATCTTGAACAAGAAACCATAGATGTTCATGGATAGACCAGTACCAGTAATAAGTACTGATCTAAATCCTATAATAATAATGCCAAGGAGGCCCACCCTCTTTATTCGGTGTCTCATTTTGCCACGTGTGACTCTTTGAGACAAGTTGCTTCAGTCAAGTCCTAATTCTGACCACTTTGAATTTGAGTTACGAGCCCTAACTAGAGTTACGTCGTCAATGAAACCGTTTCATTAACTGTATTCAGTGAATAAATAATGTCCCTAAAACATACCTCTAATTTCAACTTTGTAGTTTCTCTGATTTGAAAATGTCGACTAAAAAATATATATTGTCATTTCAGTTCACAGTTCATTTAGATTAGTTGAGTACTACAGTAAAATACAAAAAGAACAAATAATGATTCTCAGAATGCCCAACGGTATTTGGAAAACACGAGTGTTCAAACGTTGGACTTTATTAATATGTCTGTATTTGTTACTGTGTACATGCCAGTAATTATTTGATTAAAGTCTTTCACAATACTTTAAGACACTGGTAAGATGCTGTTAAAATATACCAAAGGTCTAGAAATAAAAAGAAAGAGACATTCTGCAAAATAACCTTTAAACATTTTAAAGCCTACTTTCAAAGTTCTTCAGTGGCTCAACGGCAAGTTTCAGGGTTTATAACGCAACAGTTTGGGATTCGATCTCAGAAGCAGACACAATGCATACACTCTTTCGTTTA